TCCGATAAGTACTTAGCCTACAAAAGAAAAACGAAAATTTTGGAAAAGTTGCGTTTTATTTTTCAACATAGTCTCCTTTTAGTTCGATACACTTGGCCCAGTGATCCTCCAACTTCTTTAACCCGTCTTAAAAATACGTTTTCTCGAGATCTGAAAAGTAGGCTTCCGTGGCAGAGATTACCTCCTCATTCGACTCAAATTTCTGCCCGGCGAGTGACTTTTTCAAGTTTGGAAACAAAAAGAAGTCACACAGGGATAAATCTGGAGAATACGGTGAATGCGGCAGCAGTTCGTAGCCTAATTCGACCAATTTGGCCATGGCGACGGCGGAGGTGTGAGCCGGTGCGTTGTCATGGTGGAAGAGCACTTTTTTCTTCGCCAAATGGGGCCGTTTTTTCTGCAATTCGACGTCGAATCGGCCCAATAATTCGGCATAGTACAGCCCTGTGACTGTTATGCCCCTCTCCAGGTAGTCGATGTAGATCACACCTCGTGAATCCCAGAAAACGGTGGCCATCACCTTTCCGGCCGATGGGGCAGTCTTCGCCTTCTTCGAAGCACTTTCGCCGGGTAAAGTCCACTGTTTCGACTGTTCCTTGGTCTCTGGTGTATACCAGTGGATCCATGTTTCGTCGACTGTCACAAAACGACGCAGAAACTCCTTCGAATTGCGCTTAAACAGCGTCAGACATTGCTCTGAAGTTATCTCACGATTGCGCTTGTTGTCCGGAGTGAGCAAACGCGGCACTCATCGCGCCGACAGCTTTCTCATGCCGAAAATTTCATGCAGGACATGACCCACGCGGTCTTTTGAGATGCCTACGATCTTAGCTATCTCGCGCACCTTCAATCGTCGATCTGCCAATACGAGATCGTGAATTTTTGTCACGCTATCCTCCGTGGTAGCCGTTTTCGGAGCACCTGGACGTGGCTCTTCAAAAATCGACGTGCGAACACGTTGAAACTCGTTAAACCAATTTTTGACGGTCGCCATCGAAGGAGAAGAGTCACCGTACACAGCATCCAAGTGCTTTTTGATTTCGCTGCGCGATTTCCCTTCCAAAAACAAAAATCGAATCACTGACCGATACTGCTCTTTTTCCATTTTTCAAAAATCAACGGACACACTTGCTTTCACACGCTCTCAAAAATAAACTACAACTTCGATCCGGCTGAAATCTTGACAGTAACCATCGAGAAGGTTGTACTACGTGATAGAATATTTCTTTTGCGAGAATGGCGCCATCGGGCGATGAGGCTAAGTACTTATCGGAACACCCTCGTATATATATAGCTTCTAACGGCAATATTTTATTTTAATTTTAGTATCTGACGATAAAGCAAAAAAACGGGCTTCTTGTAATTGTTCGTGTGGTAAGCTAATTATTATGTATTAAAATCACTTAATAGTTTGTAAGTTCAGTATAGAATACTTTCTAACTACGTATAATGGAGACATTTTCTTAGCTGTTCGGGGAGATTGTTGATGATTCATAAACTACATTTGTGCCAGGCTGGAGTTTCGATAGTATACTTTGGAAAAAAGGCTCCCTGAAGCTGTATACGCAGCCAACTTCCGTACGCTCTACCGAGCAACTGTTTTCTATTCCTCTCATTCCATGTTTCCCGCTCTCAAGTGCAATTTGGCGCGAAGTCACAAGCTACTATTTTTCTCTGAAATTACATGAGCTGAGCTTACGAGTAAAATTCAGACATTTAGAAGGCATTTATTAATCATTTTCAGGTGGAATATTATTATTATTCATCTTAAAATCGAGGCTAAACTGATAGTGGTAAGAATAATCAAAATTTGTATATGCATGTCATTTTATGATTTTTATTTACATGCATGGAATTATTTTAAATTGAAGAAATGGTGTTTTAACAATGTTTTAAATAAATTTACGGTGATTTATGGAAATGAACGTATAATTTTATGTACAGAAACCTTTTCCTGATATTAATTTTTTAATTACAAACATATAATTGTTATCCATTTTAACATATGGGTTAGGTCAATCGAAAGATATCTTTATTTTTTTTTATGTTATTCTAAGTATACTAATCGTAACTTATTTTTAATAGACATATGTATAGAATATTTTTTGTTCATAAAAATTATACATATTTTGTGTAATATTATAATATTGACATATTTGACACGTAAATCTCGGCTAAATAATTTATTATATTTTTTGTTGTGTTTTTATCAAATTCTACATTATAGTATCGTGTATAATTTGCAGTAATATTGTGTGGGCAAATTAATTCAATCAATTAATTATTTTTTAATTACTGCAAATAAAATGGTGATTGAGTAACATTTAGACAATTAAAAACTCATAACTAACACGGAAAGATTTCTTTGTAAGTATATAGAACTCAACTCAATTTTTAGACGAAACGTAAAAAGCTTCTTGTCTATTTTACAAAAAAAAAATTAAACGAGCAAGAATTTCTAAAATGCTATCAATTTACTGTAGTTTTATTCAATTTAGTTTATTTACCAAAATGCAACAGGCTAGGTTGTCTGTACCTCATTTTTTAGACTAAACTAGACCATTTATATTGTTTGTAAAATAATATCAATTATTGTTACTGATAAATTAACAAATACATGGGTGCAAGATTTTTTTATAATAATTTTTTAAAGACTGTTTTACTTCTTCGAATTAATATCGTTGATCAATTCTGTAATCACGATTGTACTTCCATACTACGATAATTAGTCTTAATTAAATAATTATATTTAACAATAATAAGATTTTTAGATAAAAAACAAGGAAGTGTTCAGACAATTAAATTATCAGGATTGATTTAGTTGTTTGCTCGACAACGTAGCATCAAGGGTTGCGGCATCGACCTGCGGCATGAATGCCGAAGGCGCGGTAAACGCGAAACATATACAACGGCTTTGTACATCAATTAATTATTTTGCGTATTAAGTGAAATATTTTTCGATAGTCTTCAAAAAAAATTATGAAAACATTTAGCTAAGTACTTATTTGGTTTCTCAAAAACAATAGGATGGGCAAATTTATAATTAAACTAATTATGAATGGCGATCAATATATATATATATATATATATATATATATATATATATATATATATATATATATATATATATATATATATATATATATATATATATATATATATATTATATCACTTACATAGTTTGCTTGCTAAGTATAAGAAGCCGATTCGCTATCAGTTTTCGTTATTGAATCAATGTTGATCATTAATAATGTGAAAAATCACAAAAACGAAGTGATTTTTCACATTCTTAGAGATCAACATTTATTATCACATATTATATAAAAATCACAAAAGCAAAATGATTTTCCACGTTTTGCAAAGATTTCTTTTTACAAAGTATCATCTTTCTAAACTTTAATGCCTATTCGTATATAATTGCTTCTTGATATCATGCCAGGTTAGGATGTAGTTTTTTTTTACTTTAGCTACGTTTGGATATATGAGCAATTCCACAAGAATGCGTCCATAATTTGGCACAGTTTTCACGAATTTTCATATTAGGGGCACGCGTTTATGAAAGTCATTATTATAAAAAGTGTGCCCACATTTTTGGAAGATACCTATTTTTTTTATTCGGTCCTGAAGTTTTAAAAGTTATGACATTTTTTGCGATTTAGCGATAATCAAATTAAATAATATCTCAGTTTATAATAAAGATATTTTGGCTTGTAAAGGCTCATTTTGAATAACAAAGTCTGCCCTATATTTTGATGAAAAAAAATATTGTACACTCACTTGTAAACAAATTAGAGCATTAAATGTAAAATTTCTTTCGGATTTTTCGCTATTTTATTTGTTTACAAGAGTATAATTATCGTTTCAAATGAGCCAACCACCTTAAAGTTACACAATAGGATAGACATTTACTTAGAAATTAATAAGCATTTTGATTTTTACAAAAATATCATATATAACTGGAGCTATTGACTTTTAAACAATCACCGCACTGATTCGACAGTTAAATATATTCGTCAATTTGGAAAATAGTATTATCACAAAAAATAGTTGGTGTATTTTTTATCAAAACTATTTCTTGAAACAATCTATTTAGCCAAAATGATTCTTTAGCAGCCTCACTCAGTGCTATATATTCAGCTTCTGTAGTTGAAAGAGAAACGCTTCGTTCTGCTCCACCAGAATACATTGATACCATTCCATTCACATATCGTCTATTAATCACTTGCATAATCAGCATTGCAAGAAATATTCAATCTTTCAGTTTTAAATTCATGCTTATACAAAATTCCCTGACTAAGTAAGTTAAGTTATAATTAAGTTAAGTTAAGTTAAGTTAAGTTAAGTTATTTACTTTAAGTTCCATTTAAATACTTGAAAATACGCAAAATTAAATGCCAATGTCTCTCGCGAGGATTTTCCAAAAATTGAGATGTATAATTTACGGCTAATGTAGATATTCTGGTCGAGAAACAACCGCTAAGTACATGAAACATCCTACTGCTTCACGATATGAACCTTTCAATTCTTGCGTCACTTCAGTTTCGCCAGGCTGTACATAACTATCAATAACTATCATAACTATCAATAGGTGTATGAACAATGTTTGTCTCATTTATTTGAAATCTTATTAAAGTTTCTATGCATATCTTTGTTGATTAATCAAAATCGAACCATCATCAAATCGCTGTATATGTAAACTAAGAAATTAGCCAACTGGCTCTGTTGTAATTTTAAACAAATTTTTCAATTTCTTTAAAAAATCATTGATGATATCTTTATCAGATGCAACAATTAAACCGTCATCAACATAAATTGCAACTAATATCTTACAATCATTTTTAAAACTATGAAATAAACATTGATCAGCTGTACTCTCATTCAAATCAAGTTTAAATAGTTCATTTTTTAAACACTCATTCCAACATCTTGGCGACTGCTTCATACAAACTCTTTTTTAACTTGCATACGCGTTCAGTAGAATCTTGAAAACCTTCAGGCTGCTACATGAAAATTTCTTCGTCAAGAACTCCGTTCAAGATAGCAGTCTTAACATCTAATTGTTGTAACTCTAATTTTACATTAGCAGCAACACTTAACAAAGCTCTTATCGTATCAAACCGTACCAGAGGACTAAAAGTTTCATCATAGCCAATACCTTTTTGTTGACTGAAACCTCGTGCAACAAGACAAGCCTTGAAACGATTAATTTCACCATTAGCATTATGTTTGACTCGAAAAACCCATTAATTGTAACTGCTTTACGCCCAGCCGGTAAATCAACAAGTTTCCACATAGAGTTTTTTAAGCAACTCCCTTTCCTTTGTATGCAGATTTCATTGCCTCCTCAAAATTTTGTGGTTCGTCAAGCTCAGCAATTACTATGAAGGAGCTTTAATGTACTTTTTGTCTCGTAACTTTCTTTTCTCAAACATCTCAGATTGATTTTCTTCTTGCAACGATTTGTTGCCGACCGACTCATTAGTAATTGGAATCATCAAGAAAAGAATTATAAAAGCTTTCATCACTATACTTTCATCATAAAAATCATGAAGTTTGAGCTTATCCTCACGAACATCTTCAGTTTGACCTTGAGCTTTCATCGCAGAATTATCTGGAGCTTGCAGAGCTTGTAACTGTTGACTGTCGTCTTGTTGATCTTTGACAGGAAAACAACCCCAAGCTTTACCTGTTTGTTCAGGTACAAAATCAACATGCACTCGCTTAATTATTAATTTTCCAGGTTTTATCCAAACTCGACAACCTCAAATATCCTCAGCATAGTTTTAAAAAATGCCTGATTTACCTTTTGCATTCCATTTCTTTCTCTTTTCGTCTGGTTCCCGAACATAACACTCAGAGCCAAAAATGTGCAAAATATTCAAGCTACAACTTTTCCAGTAAACAGCTCGAACGGTGTCTTAGAAGCTTCTCCACTTGATCCAGTGCGATTCAAAACATAAACTGCTGTGTTAGCTGCTTCAGCCCACAAAAACTTTGGCAAATTTTTCGACAATAATATAGTACGTGCTAGTATATCGATAGTTTGGTTAGAACGCTCTGCGCTACCATTTTGCTCCGGAGAATATCGAATTGTAATAACGAATTTAATGCCATTTGTGCTCACGACATTCTTCACCTCGTGATTATCAAATTCTCTGCCTCCATCGCACTGAAAAGTCCGTACTTTTAAACCATAATGATTATTAACTAATGCTATCATGTCAGATATCTTTTGTGCTGTTTCAGATTTATTTTTCACGAAATAAATCATTCAAAAATGAGAGTAATCACATGTGAAACACACAAAATATAAAGCATTACCAAAAGACGGAGCTTCCATTGGTCCACAAAGATCAGCATTTATCACAGCGCCAGATTCCTTGGATCGTTGAATTCGAGAAATATAAGAAATCTTCTTCTGTTTGCCCTCGACGCAAGCTTCGAAGAAAGCTTTGTCATCTTTTACATCAATTCCATTTATTTAGCATTTCTAGCACATGACGTTTGTTTTGATGTCCTAGCTTCTCATGCCAAACTTGCAAGGAATCCGTCGAAGCTAGATTAGTTTCATTATAACCTTAAACTTTTGGTTTACACTTATTGATGCGAATACACCTTTGAAAAAGTCTTCCATGACGCACTCGGCGAGCTTTAACTTTGCCATCTCGTGAAAATTCACAGGAAGTGCTCGTCGACTTGAATTCGAGTTCCTTGTCTAAAGCAGATGTAACTGAAAATAAATTTCTTCTAGCTTTTGGCACGTAGAGTATATTCTTTATAACACACGATGACCATTTTCCATCCACAAACGCTTCAAAATCGATATTACCTCTGCCGACTGCATCCATAGTTGATTTGTCTTCAATATGAATTTTAATCGGAATTTCGAAATAATCAAGAGTAGTGAAACAATTCTTGTTTCTTGCCAAATGATCCGTAGCACCTGAATCCGCAATCTACAAATCCATATCACTTTCAGTGCTTAAAATTTCTGCAACAAAAGCTTCATCATTATTGAAAGTAGATATATTGACTCACTACAATCATCTTTCTTCGGACAATCTCGTTTGTCTTATTATTAGTCTCTTGCACCGTATTTCATCCGACGTCAACAAACTTATTAAATTCGCAAAAGTCTGCTTGTCTTCAATCCTTGACCACCAACCTTGCCGCAGTCCTTCATATTCTTCCGGCAATGTGTCCAAGAGCTTCTATCAAAGCCATTACGTTCGACTCAATCATACGAGTAAGTTTTTCACATGCAATTCGATCAGTTTTGTCCCATTCTTTGAAGGATGCATTATATGCAGCTTGTTGATCGTTTTGTATGTTATCACCGACCAATGCATCTGGCTTCTTTAATTCACCAATGCAAATCTCGTACACACCTTCAGTTGCTCGCAGTATGTTCCTGACAGCATGTTTCCACAAGCCCCAGTTATCAGCTCCTCGCAGTTTTTCGACTCCGTGCTATTCATTCATTGCTTTAACTTATTATTCTTCAAACTTGTTCTTATATCCGAAGCTTTCTTGTTGTCATGCAAAAAATACAGGCACGATTTTTTATACAGAAGTACCACGTTCTGCTACCATGTTAAAAAAAATCTAATTTTTGTTTTTACTATGGATTCATTGAAACACTGATGCGTGCAGAGGTTTGAAACAGACTGATTTATAAGTTTGTTAGAAAATTTAACGAACGCTTGCTTAGCATCGATAAAACATAAGAAACATTATTAAACAAATGAATTTACATTTTAGAACAAACAGAATACTTTAGGATTAAAAAATGTTTTTGTAGTATACAAATTTGAACAAGATTATCAATAACATGAAAATACATTTTATCGATCGTTGTTTTCTATTATAATGTCATGTTTTGTTAAAACACCATTTTGGCTGTAGAGATCTTTATTTGGTTAGTGATATGTTAACTTAGCAATTCATCATTATTATGGAATTGGTTTTTTTTATGTTTATTTACATTTGTAGGTTAAACATAATTTTTAGTTTTTTGGTTTGGAGTTTTTTGGTGAAGGTAGTTTTAAGACAAAAATATATATATTTATATAATCGTAGTTAGTACTATTTAAGTATATTTTTAATTAATCGCGATGGATTTAAAAAAAAAATCATCTTTGACTGAACTTTATAAATGGTACAAATACAAGTACTCATCCCTTAAAGTTGTAAAAAATAATACATTAAAAAAGAATACTAAAAATGTATTACATTACGGAGAATATACATACTGTTCGGTTATTTTGTTGCAAAAATCATCGAATTTATCAAGACATGATCAATGTTATGCCCATCTAAAAAATGTGAAAAAGAGTGAAGAAGAATTTCGGAATGAGGACTTCAGTATTGACATTTTACCAGTTATTCAACAAGAATTAGAAGTAGAAGACGGAAAAAGCTCATGCTCTGTAGAAGAAAACATACCAAGTCTTCAAGTAGCGGATGTTTTGTCTGATTGTGAATGTCAACCTTCTATTACTTCACGAACTGAAGATATAGCTCAATCAGAAAGTATTAGTGATAAAATAAACGAAATGACTTTGGATTCTCATACAAGTGGCGATGACGAGCTAATCACGATACTAAACATGCAAGAAGAATTAAAGAAAAATATAAATAAACTTTTAAAAAATGACAAAACAGAAAGAGAAATGTACATAACTCGCGAAAATGAAGTAAAAGGTAATGTATGGTGTAAAGCTTGCCAATGTTCATTAAGGGATATTTCTCAAGTCATAAATACGCATTTTAAAACATTAAAACATTTAGTAAATACGGAGAAACTGCCAAAAACACTATTATTTGACCCAGAAATCGCAACGTTAGAAATAAAAATAGCAGCTTTAGTAGCTGAAAGTAACCTATCATTTCGATTCGGCGAAAAATTGGCTAAGTTCATAAAAAGCAATTGTATGTGCACTGATTCTGCCAAAAAAATATCCTTAGATAGAGCAAAAATTCCTGGAATTTTGAAAGAAGTCATTGCTCCAGAATATAAACAGAGATTGCACAATATATTAGAAGAAACAGATTTTTCAATTATTATCGATGAATCTACTGATATTTCGGCACACTCTTCTCTCTGCATTGTGGTACGTTACGCTGATCCAGAATTAAAAAAAGTACAAGATGTTTTGTGGGATTTGATTCCTGTTTACAAAGATAGCGAAAATTGTCGAGCCACTGCTGAATACTTAGCTAATGAGGTCATTAATACATTTAATAATAAACAAAAAGACCATATAATAAGTTTTTGTTCTGACACATGCAATGTAATGATGGGCGATGAAGGCGGCGTGCAAGCTAAAATAAAAACTGTTTTAAAAAATTGCACAATTGTACAGTGTTCATCCCATCTTGAACATTTAGTGTCAAGTCATGCCATGGCAGTTTTTCCAGAAGAAGTTAAAAATTTAAGCAACTCTATTCACAATTATATAGCAAACAGTTCATTATGAACTTTTGTTTGGTTTACGTTGCAAAGTGAATTAGGTTTCGAGCAACTGAAAATAGTTAAACAGTGTAATATTCGCTGGCTATCGTTGTATCAAGCGATATTACGGTTACTTCGTAGATGGCCACATTTAATAGTATTTTTTGAAAGCGAAGTAGCAGATGAACAGAAAAAAAAGGGAACCGAAACAAAAACTGACGGAAAAGAAAAAATATCTGCGTCAATGATTCTTGAATATTTGAGAGATCCTCTGATGCACTGTTATCATTATTTTTTAGAGTCGATTTTATCACGATTGGCGTCTGCTAATAAAGGTTTGCAAAAAGAAAAGCCAGATATTCCAAAGTCATATTCCAGAATGGGAAAACTATATCTTAATATTTTGAAGATGTACATGGATAAAGATTACGTTGAAAATACTGATATTAGTATAATTAATCCACAGGAAACTTCAAAATTTTTGGATTTATCCCAAATTAACTTGGGCGAAAATACTTTTAAGGCTATTGATAGGTTAAAAACAGAAAATATTCAGGAACATTACGATAGCAAGGAGTCTTTTGAAACTGATTTTCGCCAAGCTTGCCGTGGATTTTTGATAGAATGCTGTACACAGATTAGTGTAAGATGCTTGTTGAAATTCAACCCTGAAAATGCTATTAGTTATACATTTCATAGAGATAATCCAAATTTAGATAAAGTCTTCATAGCTTTTCCAAGAATCAAAGGTAGTACCGATATTGTTCAACAGAATATAATAAATGCTGAATGGAAAACTTTAGGTGATTATAAATTCGATGAAGTTACGAGAAACAAATTAGAAAATCCCGAGTCTCAAGATAAATTTTGGTTTACACTTTATTCTTATTGTCACGAAGGAATATTTTTATTTCATAATTTATCTAGTTTTGCACTTTCAGTTTTAAATATATCTGTGTCAAATGCATCGTCCGAAAGGCTTTTTAGTAAAAAAAAGTTGACGCAAAGTTTATTACGCACGCATTTGCGTTTGGATACAATTCGCGCTGTTTTGTATTCGTGTCATACTTGAAAGATCACGGTGGAATCCTTGAATTTGAACCAAACGAAAATATGCTTTCAAAAATGAGTAAAGGGTCGTTAAGATGCAAGAGTATAAGGAAGTCAAAAAAGAAAGTTGACGTAGATAATTTCAAATTCAAGGATGTAGTTACAATTACGCAAGAAAACTTAGAAAATTGCCAAGAAGCTGAAGATAGATTTAATAGGAAATACAAGGAAATACCACTGGATAGCACATATAAAAAAAAAGATTTTAAAATGATTTATGACGTTGATATGGCTAACATGTATGTGCCACGTGAAAAACAACATAGTTTGAAAGTGGTTGCAATAGATGAAGATTGCTGTAACGATTTTCAAGAAAACTCTATTGTTCCTTTTGTCAGTGAAGATCTTGAAGATGGCATAAGTACCGATCAAATAAATATATACTCTGAAGCTGATAACGTAGGATTTTCAAGTGAATGGGATTCAGATTCAGTTCCAGTAGAAATGAAACCAGATTCAGATCCATTGCCTTGTATAGATGTGAATACAGATCTACTGGATATTGAAAGCGACCATATTAACGTCATAAATCCATTAAATTTACAATATATTCCTGAATATGTGGAGAATAAAAAGGATGAAGATTATGCTAAGAAGAATGAAAATGAAGAAGAAAAATCAGAAGAAAATAAACAAGAAATGAAGAATTGGACTACTGGAGAAAACTTTGCAGAGCCTAAACAATTGTGCAATCAAGGGTTAGCAGAATCAATTAATAATGCTGAACAAAGAGCCTGTGAAAGTAATGAACTTGAAGATTGGATGCAGATATTGCGAAAACAAATATTAGATAATGGTTTAATTTCAGATTATAATTATTATATGAGCTGTGAAGAAATAGCGCTTGTTGGAAAATATACAAGAAAAAGTCAGCACCCAATTAGAGAACATAGAATATTAATTAATAAGGAAACAGGGAATATTGATGAACCTTCACTTTATCCAGATAATTTTGAATATCCATTGTTTACAGAACAGTATAGAACATTACGTGAGTATGCACAGGATGTGTCAGAGCTTGAAATCGAAGGCTCTGTTATTAATGCATTCGGAACTGTTTGTGAAAAAGAGTGGGTTGATACCATTTTCATTCCCACTGTCCAGACCCGCTTGATTTTGAATACATATGATCCTATCCGAGAAGCATATTTGATTCCTGGATCTGAATGGTTTATGTTTCATATAAATCAGGAATTCAAAGGTAAAATATTGTTACCATATTGTTCTGCCAGTCATTGGTATTTATTTATTATAAATGTCGACGATAAAACGCTACAGCATATTGATCCTCTCGTAATGGAAGGTAATGTGATGTCGACGCGTTCTAAAACATGTGTAAATAATTTTAAAAAGTATTTACATAATCCATTAAATAAGTCAATAACTAATTTGAAATTGATTAATTGGAAATACAAGAGATCGAAAATAAAAAGAGTGTTACAATCAGATTCCTTTAACTGCGGTGTATTTGTTATGAGCTACATGAATAACATAGGAAAAGAAAATGTATTCGATATTCACTTTGAACCTATGGAGTACAGAAGGGAAATAGCACAAATACTAATATATAAAGCAGATAATATGAAAAACACTTGCGTGAGTTGCACCAGCAGGAATAAAGACAGACTAAAAGATTATTGTTTCATTTGTAATAGAATGATTCATAGAACAAGGTGTTACCATAGAATTTCGCAAGAATTTAACAAATATATTATTTGTCCGTTTTGTGATAGGATAAGAAAAATTGAACAGGCAAAAAATGAAAATGCAGAGAAAGAAAAACCGTATAAAATGAACATAAAAAAGAGCAATCAAATGGAACAACAAATAAGAAAAAGAGCGTCTACATCTCCTACTAAAAGAAATATTAAAAAACCGAAGTAAAATTAAATTTTTTTTTTAATTTATTCAATCAACGAGATTTTTACATCCTAAAATAACAAATTTATGTATAATTATAATAACGACAAAACGAACATATAAATAATCAAATAATAGTACATAATGAAAGTTAACAAAAATCAGTAAA